GCCGCCTGATCGTCTAGGACCCCATGTATCTGCCTCCCACCCTGTCTTTTGATGACTGTTTTCGGCTGGTGGTTGGGTCGTGGGACTGATAAAGAGAAAGGAGTGTCTGAGAACCAGTCTGACCAAAGGGATGGTCATCTGCTGGGAATTAGTGAGGAATAAGATGGATCCTAAAGATGAGACTCAGTTACAAAGGGGCATGAATGACATTCAGACTTCATTCTAGAAGAAAGGAAAAGCCTTTGAAATCTTTAAGAGAGTCAGAAGTTGCGAACACTGCCCAAGAATGAGAATGGGGGTGGATCTAGCTACAAAGAAGCAGCAGAAGGCTGAGCAGTGACCCAGGTGTGGACCTAGGCTGGAGTGAGAGCTGGGCAAGGGTGGGAATATTACAAAGGAGAGTCTTGTTGGCAGACTGGCTCTGAGGGCTGAAGGTCAGGGAGGACGCACAGGTGACGCAAAAGCCAGGAGTTGTCCCTCCCGACAACAGACTATTGTCATGTTCTTACCGGCCAGGGACTTGAACTGATACAACAAGTAAAAGCTGTTTTCTTCTAAGCGAGTCTCGTAATGCAGATGCTACACTCCGGGCCAATTTGGTACACAGAATATTGAGTTTACCGAACAGATGAAGTAGGGAACTGATTTGTCTCACAGAAAGTGAAGCCTTGAGCTTAAAAGAGCCTTCGCCCATTTGTTCAAGTCACACATGTGTTCTCTTTCTTTCTTCCTCCCTTCCTGCCCCTCCCTACAAAGGAGAACAGACAGACTGCAACCAGCATCTGCCTCACTTCCTGCTCTCTTGGCCTTTCCTTGGCCTCTTCTGCTATTTCCCTCCAGTGGCTTACCCAGGCTCCATGTCCTCCCAAACCTTCCTCCATCTGGGACCTTAACTGGCACTGGCCAGCTAACCAGGCATGGGCCTGACCAACAGCAAGCTCCTGCTACTTTGGTCTGCATGTGTCAGAAAGCTGCCAGGGCCACTGTTCCTGCAGGACAGCCCCCTCCACCCCCTACCCGAAGAAAGGGGCCAGCACAGAGGAAAAGAGAGTGAATAGTTTGGGGCTTAAAGGGCCCTGGCTTAGGGATCAGGAAGAATGGATGGCCGTAGGAAACTGATGTCAGCGTTCTGAGTCTCAGACTCCACATCATGAATGGTAATAGTACCGCCCTCGGAACGTTGTTGTGAGGCTGACCTTCATGGGAGGAGGTTATGATGAGAACCACGGAACCATACTGCATAGTATCAATGCCACACCTTGCCTACTTCCTTTGGCAATTTGCCTAAACCAGCCTTGGCAGGGGAAAAGCCATCAACAGGTGGGCAGCTGAGCAGAGAGGGTGAACCGTGGCTGACTTTCTAGTTTCAGTGAGGACTTGGACTATTTCCAAGGCTCTGTAAACTGCCATAACCACGTAGCCCCACCCTGGGAAGCAATCTAGCAGAGACCATTAAAGGCATCTCTTCTGGAAGCTGTGTGTTTTCGCTAGTGGAATCCAATTTCTGTGCACATGGGCCAGTGTCCAGATGCCAAATCAGAAGGCACCTGAGCCCTCCTTGAATCCCCTCTCTTGTCCTCTAAAGGTAAGAAGTTGAGGTCAGGGAGATTAAGTGATTCACTGACGGTCATGTTTAAGTTGGTGCCTGGATGTCAGGGCAAGGCCCTGTGCTGAATCACAGATCTCTCTTGTGATGGCAAAGCCCTGTGACTGTCAGCTTTGGGGGTTTGAATCCTGATTCTAACATTGATGAGTGATGTTAACTTTGGGCCAGTTACTTAACCTCTCTATGAATCAATTTCTTCACATGTAAAATGAATGTTATCATGGTACAGGAACATGGAAAGCTTTCAGTAAGCACAGTGTTGTTTGTTGTCATTAACAGATGCAAGGAAAAGAGCCCAAGAGAAACCAGAGCTGGTCAGGTCCCATCCCCAAGCTCCAGTATAATCTGTCTTCTTGTTCTCAAGCCGCATCATTTCCCAGAACTAACTGAGACTTAAACAGGCTATCCTGCCTTTGCCCCATCACTCGAAACCAGATCTTATTTTATTTATTTTCATTAAATATTAAATACCTACAATAAGTACTAACATATCCACCACTCAACTTAAGAGATAGGACACTACTATTGCCTTTGAAGCCCTGTGTGCCCCTTCACTCCAAACCCACTCCCTGGTAACCATCCACCTGAATTTTATATTTATCATTCCCTCCCTTGGTTTGACCATGTGTGTATGTGTCCCAAATAATAAACTAGTCTTACATGTCTTTAACCTTAATATAATTGGAATCATGGTATGTGATCTTCTTTAACTCACCTTTAATGCTCAGATTATTTGTTATTTTTCCATACTGATAGATTGTATTTCATTCATATTCACTGTTGAATAGTACTCTGTTGCACAAATATGCTACAATTAATTGATTCATTTTTCTGTCGCTGGGCAATTCTGTCGCTGGGCAATTGGGTTGTTTCCAGTGTTTTTATTTTCTATTAGAAACAGTGCTTCAATGACAATTGTTGCACGTGACTTTGGTGTACATGGTATATTCCTAGTGTTCTGTCATGTCTTAGTGCTACGTCATGACCTCATACTGGGTCATAGGTATGTATGTCATCAAATGTATCAGGTAATACCAAAATGTTTCCAAAGTGATTGGACCTATTTCAATTTTTCCCAGCAATGTATAGGAGTTCCAAATTTTCTTTAAGGCTGGGATTATCCATTTTTCATCTGTTAATTTAGTAATTAATTAATGTTCACGTTCACTGTGCCGTGTAGTTCGAGACTGAGTGTTTATCATGGTATGTTGATCTCCATGTGCTGTGGAAACCATGCTGCATGGTCTCATTCCTTTCACAAGTCATCAGCTAAGACTTGGCGTCCTCGATTTCCATGCTCGCACTCACTGACCTTCTTGGGAAGCCGGTTACAGCTATGGAGCAGTCGTGGCAGCCTGGAACATTCTGGGTATCATGCTACACATCACGTGGGGTAAAATGTCCAGTCTGGAAAAGCAGACTCTCATTTTTATCATGTCAGACTAGAGACAGTAAAAAGAAGAAAGACAAGTGGCTGTAAAAAGAAAAAGCAGAAGTGTAACTCTTGCCCTAGGTCTTTTTCTCAGGGGAAATAATAAGTTGCCAGCCCAGGTGCTGAACAGACTTGTTGGTTTGGAGGAAAGGCAAGTGGCCAATGGGGTGCACTTGATGGTAATCAAGAAGGAACAAGCAGATGATTGCCTCGTTCAGGGGAGCTGGATTTTCCTGATCCTGATGGCATTCTATGTGTCTTCACCATCCTGGTGTACTAGTTAGTTCCTTTCAGTAAAGAACTATGGGGAAAGGATGTGTGAAGGTCTAGAGTTCCTTGGAAATACATTGCAAGAAAACTGAGCTGCTTGTTTGGGGAAAATAACCAACTGGAGAAGCCAAGTGCTTACATTTTTCTCATGAAAGATTATCTGCTCTCTGCCGACCTGGCCAACTCAGTGGTTTGGCCAAGCAGAAGGGCTTCACCCTTCAATAGCCCTGAGGATTCTGCTCCTAAACATCTGGTTCAACTAGAAATTCAGAGGCAGTACCTGAATGTGATTAATCAAGGTTTACCTGGAGAAAAACAGAGCCTCTTTTTGTACAGAGGCACAGAAGGAAAGGAATCCATCCACCACATCCACCTCTGCCATTGCTGCTGCTGCCTCTCATCTCCCTCCTCCTCCCCCTCCCCCCCATTCTTTGCACCCTCCTCCTTTTCCTCATCTCTTCCTCCCATTTCCCCTCTGTCTCCAGCCAGACCTCAGGTCTGTAACAGGAAAGGTAATGGGAACCCCTCTACTTTGTCCTTTCTGTGTATTCTTCAGACCCAGGAGAGAATTGTTCACCCAGGTAAATGTGCCTAATTCACAAAGGTGAGCAGGGCATTCCTGCTGGCTACAGAGAAGCATGTCCAGGTACAAAAGGAACTGTCTCTCTCATTTTCTTCCCCCTGACACCAAACTATCTTCTGCTCTCTAAATGACAGACAAGTCAGAAGTTTCAGAACAGGTAAAAGGGACCATCAAGTCTTCCACGAGGGAAGTGGACCTCTCTAGATGGGTTCAGTCCCTGCAGGTGTGGTTCCCTCTCCTCTGCTCCTCGCCAGCCTGGCTGCCTGGGACACCGCTTACTGCTCCCTTGTCTGGCACATCACTGGGTCTGGTGAGGGGATGAAAGTAAGCAGTGGACAAGAGCAGGAAGGGACAATGAGCAGAGTGGCGCCTGCTTTTCAGGGGACTTCCGAGTGACTTGATGTCAGAATTGCATTGTTGGGAGATTGTTAGATTTGTCCTCAGCTGACTTTTGGGTACAGGTTGGTTTTGTTTGAAAGCATCTGGCTATCAGCACAACTCCTGACTCCATCAACCTAATAAGGAGGCCACATGGTATGACAAAGAGCCTCTCCCCTTTCCAGATCTCCTATCTGTTTCTACTCCTTATGACCTTGCCTAGAGAACTGTCCTTCCCACTTTACATAGATCTTCAGGAAGAGGGAATTCTAACTCTCAAAGTAAACTATTACCACAGAATCACTGTCATCTTGATATTTATTTTAAAACATTTGGGGGAGAGGAGCGAGGAGAAAGAATACAAAATGCCATTTTCATATAATGGTCCTTTAAGTGGAAAAGCTTATCCGTGACTTTACACAAATGAGCAGAAAGTCCCAAAGAGACCATCAGATGGAACTGATCCTTCTGCTTTCCCCTGAGTCCAGGAAGGGACAGTATGACACCTGCTGAAAACAAGGACTATATGTGTTCAGGACAACAGGAAGTAGTGACCAGCCAGAAGCTGGTCCTGGCTTGGTTACAAATCTGGTTATAAAAGAAAGCAGCTGGCAAGAAATTTGCATGTCCAATAGGTTTCACTATTAAAGTTTACACAACGTGGAGTAATCAGCCAAGCTGGGTAGCTGGCTGGCTATCCAGATCACATGATTATGCAGAAACATGAAACTTGACTATGTGCTCGAGCAAGTTTTACTTCTCCCTAGTGCAGGGGTGTTTGCCAGCAGGCTGCACTCTCAGAAATCAGACTCAAGTGATTGGGACCCTTGAGATCAAAGGCTTACCATGCTCCTCCCGAGGAGGGCCAGGGACTGCTGACGTTACCACTGGACAGTAATTTGTGGCTCAAGTAATTACCAAAAAGAATGGACAAGCTTAATAAAATAACTGTCCCTGCCAGTCAGAAGTTGAGGTAAGATTTTCACCAATACTCTTCCTTCTTCTTCTTCTTCTTTTTTTCCAGTGATCTTACTGCGTCTCAGAAATACTGAAATCCTGAAATACTTTGCTAGTTCTAAGGCAGTGGGAGGTCAGCTGCTACAGGGAAGTGGACTGAGATTTTAAAGAAATATGGAGGAACAAGTGGGCTTACTCTAGCTGGATTTTGCCAGTGGTGGATTAACATGTAAAGCTCTGAAACAATTAAAACAGAAAAGCCAGGGGCTTAGAGGCTACCAGTGGTCAACTTACAGAGTGTAAATATAACAAGCTTTTCTAAGTAAAGTTTTGTTTAATCCGAGTACTTAAATATTTCACTGTGGATTACTATTCAATGCTAAGGATTGCTGCAATAATTTGTATTCATTGTAGTTTTACTGTCTCATTTATTTGTGGGTGTATATCACAAGTGTTTTGCAGAGATTGGGTCTGTTTTTCCAGTGTCTTCATGTCCGTGTAACAATTACCTCTAAAAAACCACTTAGAGAGAGAATAAACCAGAAGTGGCCCAAGCGGCAGGAATCAAGAAACTCCTCTGAGCTATGGCAAAAAAGACTTCCCAAATGTTGATTTTGAAGATCCTCTTTTTGTCTCACTGTAAGAGCATCGTGGCTTTTGGAGACTGGAAAACTGAATGTTCGATGAGTGTTTTATATTCCAGCTACCGCTTTGAACTTCCATTTTTCATGGGGTGAGGTGACACGTGCAGCAAGTTATCACAAATGATAAGGAGCTAGAGAATTAGAGCTTCTGAGACAGGATTTAAAAGATAGTACCCTGGCAATGGCAGAGGAACAGCCCTTCACAGTTAGAACATGGGTCATACACCTGGTAGGTGCTTGGAAAATGACAGTTTGAAAGGAACTGCTGACCTAGAATTGGGAGGCAGCATGGCGGCGGCCAACCTTCTCAAGGCTGTGCTGGTAAGTGCTGCCGTGTGATCTGCACCTACAGCAGACGAGAAGATTCCTCAGTCTTGCCCTTGGCCTCACGTTGCTACACTGTCCTGGGACGGGGACAGGGAAAACAGTGGAAGCAGTAAGTGACTAAATGAGTAGAAGAAGGGAATTAGAATAGCTGGAGGGATTCTGACAGAGGAGATGCTTCAGGCAAAATAAATGAACAAACCAAACCAAATAAAGACAAACACGTAGCTACTGAGAACAGAGCAGTGGTTACCAGAGGGGAAGTAGGGGAGTGAAATGGGTAAAGAGGGTCAACTATACGATGATGGACGGAAACTAAATTTTTGGTGGTGAGCATGCTGTGGTATATACAGAAGTGGAAACATAATGCTGTAAACGTGAAACATATAAAGTTATAAATTGATGTTACCTCAATAAAACAAAATAAATAAAGAGCTAGGCTTTGAGAGGCGGGTAAGATAAAAGAAGTTGGAGAATTAAAGGGCAAGCGTGCTGTGCTGGGAGGGAGGAAACATAGAAGCTGATACTTGGGAGCTGGACTTGAGTACAGTCCATTTGTAGGATAATAAGGAGAGTTTTCTTCCCAAACAGAGGCTGTAGAGTGGGCGTGTGGGACCAGAAGGTCCTGATAAGGTTAGACGCGCAGGGTGGGGCCAGATCATGAAGGACAGTGAGGGCGTTAACCACGGAGTGCTGGAGAATGGTTTGCACTGTTCCAGATGTCCTGACAAGCTTAAGGGAGGCTGGCAGGAGGCATTGGAGGGGGAGGGACCCCGGAGGCAGGAGTGCTTAATACGAGGGGGAGCAGTTAAGCAACCCAAGCCTCTAGCGTTGCAGCCTGGACGTTGGGGCACAGCGGTGAGAAGAGAAAGGGAAGGAGGTAGGAAGGACACGCCGAAGAAACTAACAAGACATGGGTTTTAGGGTTTCTTTCAAATGAGCAAGAGGGTTTACAAGATCCTTTTCAGAGATATTCTATAGCACAGGGCTTAACCATAACTGAGTCTTAGAACCTCTTCCAGGAAATCCAGATGGGAATTTAAACAAAGAAGGGCAATAGAGCCTAAATCACATTTTGATCCTTCCCTCAGGCACAAAGTCCAGCTTTGTCACAGAGTAGTTGACAGGCAATACACAGCCATAGATAACAAGGTAGAAAACCAAAATTGTATTGCAGATAATCATATACTAAAATTCACCTGCTCAAGTAGAAGTAACTTTTTTCCCCACTTGGTTACTCAGTTGTTTTTACAGAATTGGCCTGTTTTTGGAAAACGTGCACTGTCAACATGGAACTTTTCAAAGAAATGAAATTGCAAACACAATGAACTTGAAGCACCATTTAAAATCTTTTCTGTAATTAGATGGGATGGCAAGGAATAGGGAAATGAAATACTTGATCCCTGTGGTTTGTATCCTCTGTCCTGATTGGTTAACACACATTCATAACAGTTATAAGTGAGGAGCTGTGTTCAAACTCTTAGGTTTATCAAAGTTTACAAGATAATTTGCTTAAATTCTTAGCCAGAAAAATACAATGTGTCCACCAAGGAGGGGTGGGTAGAAGGGATGACTCTGCTCTAGCGGGTATATTCCCATGACTGAAGCAGAAGGAGTGACCAGGAGGGAGGAAAAGCAGAGTCAACCAAGGAAAGGAGGGCAGGCAGAACTGGAAGGAAACAAGAGATTTTCAAAATGAAGGACATAGAGAAGGTTCCCAGATGCACTTTCCCAAACAGACACAGTTGGGGATGAGCAGTCAGCCTGAGAGTCTCTACCGTGGAACAACTGAGAAAGGTGAAGTGGCTAAGTTGTGTGTGAGCACAGAAATGTGTGAGCATAGACATTTGTGAGCACAGATTCTCACTATTTTCTCCCAGTGAGGCACTCCATGAAGTCAGTCTGTCTGTTAATGGGAATCCAGATCCTGTTAAAAGATCTCAGAATCTTTTAGTTGAATCTTAGCTATGATTTTTCCTGGATTTTATAAGGTAATGATACCAACAGAAATGCAGCTCACACCTGAGTTCTCCATTCTTCCACAGTAAGTATTCCTATTCATTAAAAGATTACACTTCTAAGTAAACATTTCAGCATTTACAATCCCAAATCACATCGACTACATTTCTTTCACGTTAGTGAAGCTAGTTTATAAAGGAAATTGCATGGTTTTTTATTTCTAATAACCTCCCAATTGATTCACTGTCTATGCTTGTATATTTTTCTTTGTAGCCCCCAAACACAGACTCACTTATTTTTACAAATGGAGAAATTATTTGACACAGGTGTGGTCAAGTCTCATCTCCCTAATCCTTATCTGATTGGTTAAAAAGTATGATATTTTCCAGTCAAACCCACATATGTGTCACTTTAGGAAAGGTTACTTAATTTTCCTGGTCCCAGCTCCTTTGATGGGAAGATAGGATTAATAACTGCACCAATCCCCCAGGGCTGTTGTAAGGATTAGATAAATTATTTTGTGAAGCAACTGACACATAGTGATCCTGGCACACATTATTAGAGTAATGGTGGTCATTTAATATCATTATTGTTCTTCTTATTAATTCTATAGGTGTACAGTTGATTCTCTGAACATAAACGTAGCACTGTACATTGATCCTTGATAAATTTCATGTCAGTTTCGGTTCTTCTTTCCAGCTATTTTGGCTATTTTACCTGTTGATTCTGATGTCTGTGGCATTTAGCTTTTGCATGGGCTGCAGACATGACAAATACCCTTTGCCTTTATCTAAGTGGCTAACAAGACTCTTAAGCATGACAGAGCCCTGTCATGGGTGTCTGGGTCTCACAGTTAGGGCTCTCATTTGGACATCCTATTTAACAGATCCTGGGACATGACTTCTCGTCTCAGGTCCTGGAATCCTCAATTGGAGTTTCTAGTTACTTGACTTTTTCAGTTCAGTTCTTCAGAAACAAACTCACCTTCTTTTCACCCTTCTGCCACTAGCTCTATCTCTGTTCCTCCCTGTTTCTGTCAATGGTCATCATCAACCCTAGGTCTGATTCACTCTTCCCTTGTACCTCCACTCACCTACCACACCCTGTAGTCCTTCTTTCATGATGCTTCCGTATGTGCCCTTTCCTTTCCTACCACATCATCCTGGAGAGGTCCTCATCACCCCTGTGTCCCCCAGCTACAAAATGAGGAGCTTGGATCAGACAATTCCCCAGGTTCCTCTCAGCTCTGATGCTGTGTGATCCATTAGGGCATGAAGACCATGCTTGATACATGTTACATCCTCTAAGGCTACCATTTTATCCCATGACCTTCAGGAAATATTTCCTGATGGAATTGTCAATTTATTTGAGATAGTTTTCAAAATATTTTCAAGCTCTTTCCTTATTGCTTTGAAAGCTGCCCACCTCTGAACACTGGGGTCAGAGGATGACTCTAGACAGCAACCAGATGAATCACCTAGAAGGTAACTATGATGTATGTAGAAGGACAATGAAATTGGAGCCTGAAAGGGCTGGATTCCTATGGTCAGCTACTAGCTATGGGTCCTGAGGAAATCACTCAGCTTCTCTAAGCCTCAGTTTCCTCAACTGTCAAATAAAACTAGAGGTGCCTTCCTCATAGGCTTGTTTTGAAGACATGGGCTAAAGTGCCCAGATTATATTTGTCACATGGTCAATATAACAAGTAAATAAAAAGTAAGCGCCACGATCAGTACTTCAACCCACTTATCATGAGTGACCATTTATCTCTCTTCCTACTCATGGTAGTAGATCCAACCCGCTTTAACTGGAGTGACAAGCAGAGCGGGAAGCTGCCCACGGACGCATGGGGGATAGGGCACCTCCTGAAGACATGTGTGTCTGGGGCATCTCTCCTTTCATTCCTTATAAGCTTAGAGCAGAGGCCAGTGCTGATGTGTGAGGGTGAAGAAAAGGCATGGCATCTAACAGTAGAGATAAAATGGACATCCTAGGAAGCATGGTTTCTTATTCCCGTCACACCGCCTACCTGCATTATCTCACCTGAGAGTCTGCTCACCTGGGCCACCCTGTGTCACACCAATGGATG